ACTCATCAAAAAATTTGTAGATTGTCCGGTCCAACTATTAGTCAAAAGTAAAGTGTTTTCTTGTAGATGAGGTATAAACACTCTGCAATCTATTTCTTGACGTGTTCTTTGGTTAGATTACCAGATTTACTACAAACTACGATTAAATTGCTCGGTGTATTTTGATACACTTCCATACGAATACGGGGCCCAAATTCATTACCAGTAGTTTCCTGTAAGCATATTAACATAGGTGACAAAAGTTTACCAGATGCTGTGATTATTGGCTGAATTGTATTTGAATGACTAGTATTAAAAACACTTTTTACTAATTGCAAAGTGTCTTTTTCACTACGGATACTTAAAATTCTTGTCGAAAAATATTCTTTTGAAAAACCAGACTGATCAGAATTCATAACAAAATTTAGATTATATTAAGGTATTCTAGCATTTGTAAGTTGTAAGTGGATAGATTTACGATTTGCAATTTCAGTTTCTTCAGTCACATGCTTACTAGTTACGAGTTTAGTTATTTTTCTTGAACGAAGTCGAAGTTTCAGATTCTTAATAAAATGAGGGCTTGCTGTAAATTTGTCTAATCCAACTCTTCTTGCTTCTTCGATAGCCCAGCGTCGAAGATAAATATCATGAACTGGTAAGAATTTTAGTCCTGCTTCAATAATTCGACTCTTAATATACTGTTCTAGTTCATACATCTTAAATGCAAAATTTCCCTCGTTTTCTATATATTTTCTAAACCTACTTATATGCGTAGGTTGTAAGCGAGGATACAATGTTTGGATAGAAAAAAATTTCAATTTTTTACATCATTCATCTTAATAATTTTTTCCATTGTTTCAAATGAAAATGATTGACTTTTATAAGGAGTATTCATTTCAAATGAAAAATCATATCCATGGGCTTCAATTTCTTCACCGTAGGTTCCGATTTAGATGGAAATTCTGAAGATTCTGTTAGGCTCATTCGAGAATTTAATTCTTCTGATAAAGAACCTTCTGATTCATTTTTCTCTTTCAAATCTTCGCTTTCTAAAGATTCGGAACCAAATCGAGTCATTTCCAAGGATTCTTCTATTTCTAATTCAAGTGATTGATGGCATAATGTTTTGAACAATTAAGATAATTGAATAGCGATATTAGAATCAACACTATTTGGATTTTTTAAATTAGATGTATTAAGACATCCATACATTTGTACAAAGTTTAATTTAAAAAAAAACTGAAAACGTTATGAGGGTTTGTCTCCATGATTTACAAAAAAATGAAAATCGTTTTAAAGAAAACATAATTTTACACTTTTATGAAAAATAATTAAATAGAATATTTCGTGTGAAAATTTACTTGCAAAAAGAAATTAGTATTTTAACAAATCGTCAACAACGCAATATAAGCTGTAAACAATTCTTTCGTTACCACATTCTTGTTATAAGGTAGATTCTAATAGCAACAAATTTCCTGTCTCTAGACTAGAGAGTGCGATTTGCTTACTGTTTGTTTTTTTTCTTACTTTTTTGTTTTTTATTTAATTATATTTTTTAGAAATAACAGAAAAAAAAATTATTTTGAAAAAAAAAATTTTTTAATGAAAAAAATTTTAAAAATAAGAGTCACTTTGTCTTTATACATCGCCATCATTGGCTTTGCGCAATACTGAAGAAGAGTCATTTCAACATGTTTGTATCAAAATTATTCAGTAATTTTCAAAATATTTTTATCTTTTTTTCAAAATTTTTTTTTCAAAATTCAAGCTTTGAGGAAGCGGTTTAGCGTGTCGGTAAGATTGGCGGCGTTGGGGATGAACCGTCTTTATCATGATACTACCCCTAGGAATCTTTGTAGTTGCTTGGTTGTTTTAGGTGTGGGTAGGTCCATGATGGTTTGTACTTTACACTAATCGGTGTGCATGCCTTTCTTGTCGATCAGATGGCCTAGATAAGTAAGTGAATTGGAACAAAATTCGCATTTGTCTTTAGATGTTCTAGGTTTTTTTCAAATATGTCGTTGATTACTACTACGTCGTCAATATAAGCGAAAGTGAAATCTTTGAGATCGGGTCCTATCACCTTATCAAGCAGATGTTGAAAAGTGGCTGAAACTGAGTCGAGACTGAAAGATAAGATGCGGAATTGTTTCAGTGCTCTGCCAGGAACAGTAAAGGCGATTAGCAGTTTGCTTTCTTCAGTATTTGTCTCCTCGGAATTTGTCAGAGAATCTATGCAGAAACGTGCTTTTCCGTCCTTTTTCTTGACGATTACTATCGGAGAGATAAGTGGGCTGGCGGAGTCTTCGTATTGTCTCATGGCTCAAACTTGTTCATCGATAATGCGTTGCATTGCTGGGTTGTGTGGGCGGTATCGTTGCTAATTCCCTTTCGAGGAAGTGACGGAGTTCTCTGTCCTATTCGGGATTGGTAGTAAAGGAGTGTTAAAGATGGAGACTTGGAGGTCTAGTTTCCGTAATAGTTCCCTGCCTAGTACAGCTGGATGAAGTAGAGAGTCTATTACGTAAACGTAGTGGTATATCTTTTTGATTAAGATTTGGAATGTGCCCTCCGCGCTTTGGTTAATTCGCGTGTTATTTTCGTCCGCCATTGCTGTTGAGAGATATACTGGTGTGGACTTCCAGACGTTGTTAAGGCATAGAGTGGCTGTTCGTTTGTATAGGAACGAAGAGGTTATGCCTGTGTATATCAAAGGACCGATATGACCATACTACCCTGTGGCAAGAACTCATGATACACCACGCCCCTGTAATTGAAGAAAAAAACTGTGAGGAAAGCCTTCACGTTCGATCGAACTTGGCACGCTTTTTTCGGTCTTGGCTCATGCGGCAGCTTTCTTTGGGATTATTGAGCTTTGGTCTCCACATCATTACCATAAACCCATGATTCATCACCAGTTATGATCCTCCGGAGCACATGTGGGTCGTTACGGACCGAGTCCAACATCTTCTGAGCAATGTTAACCCGATGCTGTTTTTGGTCGAAATTCAGCAGTTTTAGCACGAATTTCGCGGCGACCCGACTCAAGTCTCAATTATTGTTTAAAGTCGAATGGCATGAGCCAATCGATATGTTTAGATCTTCAGAAACTTTTCTAACGGTGATTCAAAGATTGACCAATACTATTTTCTTCACTTTATCAATGTTTTCGTCTGTTGTTGAAGTGCTCGGGGGTCCAGCACGTTGTTTATTGTTCACATTTTCTCGACCCTCTGAAAACATTTTGTACCACCGATAAAAGTTGCTTTAGTCCAAGCTAGCTTCACCATATGCTACAGTCAACATTCGGAATGCGACCGCGCACTTTGTTTTTCACACAAAATTTGATACAGATTCTTTGATCCATTTTTCAGAATAGGCAAAAATCGAAGATGAGCTAAAACACATCCAAGCAAAACAGCTGTCAAAAATTAACCAACATTCAAAGTGACCGACCTTGTCAGCATAAGTAAGGGACATGAATACCAACATAACGTTACAAAAAAATCAAAAATCAAATTTACGTAGCCCGCGGAACATTCAAAATTCGCGATACTTTTTGAACAGACCTCATAAAACTACTTAGTATTTTATAGTATTTATATTTTACTTAGTATAGTATTTCATCTCATTTTACCCTAACTGATTGAGGTTTGACGAAAAAGTGTTATATACAGTTTTTGTAATAATTTTTCCCATAGCATCGACTACCGTGATCAGTTTTAGAAAATAATGACTTTTTGAGTAATTTGTTTAAGAAATATTTTATAAACAATTATACATGGCAAAAGGAAAATCCACGAGTCTATCTTTTTAGATATGCTATGAATGGCATGGATATTTTGACGCTATCTTACCCAGTTTCGGCATGGGACTCAATGGATTAATCAAGCTTTTCAGAACTAAATTTCTGTTCGTATGGCAAATCTAAGTTGAAACTTGTTAAAAAATACGCTATGAATGAAGAATCCTGCAACTTATTGCTTTGTTATAAAACTTTCTTTAGTTTGATGTAAGAGGAAGATTTGATTTATATTTATAAAAAATAGCAGAAAAACAGTAAAATTAAATATTATAAACTATACAACTAAATATTCATTCTCTGAATTTACTCTACCTTCAATTTTAATTCAGCATAGTGCAGGGAGCATGCAACATAGGGTCTGGAACATTCGTTGGTACATGATATAGATAATAAGACGCTGTTACACGCAGGCACATGCATGTCAATAATTGCTAGGATTTGTTATCTTTTCGGATAGGTTGAGATATTTTCAACCCTGTGTCTTCGTGCGAGGGAGAAAATATCCGCATACAATTAATCGAGTGTCCGTCGACGAGCCGACAGCCTTCTCGCAACACCTTGGAAATTTCTCAATCAATTGGGTAAAGGAAAGATAATTTTAGGATGCTTTGTACTGGGCTCGTTTGTCCCCCGGTCACGGTAAGTCAGCAGAGCACCAATACCCTATTTATTTCCGTTCTGGTCAGGAAGGAAAGTAGGTACGGACGATTTGTGCAATGTTCCTTGTTCAGTGGTGAGATTCACGCGATAGTGGAGATCGTTGTGTCAAATCGGTTGGAGAACCAAAGAAAGAATGTCTAACTAAGCTTGTCCGCTCTTATATATACGTTTATCGTTGCGGGACGTTCTATTTACATTTGTGTTTAAGGGCATCGCTAATCCGTTTTTCCCTAATATCGCCACAGCTTTCGTCTTGTTTTGATCTGTCCATAGCTTGATTATTGTTTACATGTGCGGTCACTGTTTGTATCTGTCACAGATTATACGGGCTTAAATAACAAGTAATATGCGTAATGTACCGGTAAAATAGGTCAATATTTAAACGACGACTGTGGATAAAATAGAACAAATCTGTTGTTCGTAACATTATCCACCATGGGTAATAAAGGAAACATCTAATCTCTTATTAAATGGCTCAACAACGCAATATTCTTCACTACAATCTAAATTGAATAAAAATTTAGTCAAGCTGTATTAAATTTTATTTCTTTTTCAGCTCTCGAATTAGTTGGACCAAACTATAGATCTCTTGTAACTGTATTAACATGCATGTTTTATACTATTGGGCTCTGTATGTTAGCCGGAGTAACCTATTTTATACAAGAATGGAGAATACTTTCTTTAGTAACTAGTTTACCTTTCACAATATACTTTTTTTACTGGTGGTAAGTATTAAAATTATTTAAAAAATATATGTTTATAAATATGTAGATAGGATACATTAAATAATCTATAGATGTAAAAATATCATTTAAAGATTTAATGTTGAAGTAAGAATTTATACGCCTGATATCATATCTAGAGGAAAGAACTAGGTATTCTTATAGCTGCTTGAAAAAGTAATCTGAAAACATCCAACTCTTAGATTGTATTATTATCGCTTTTATATTTTATCGATATTTCATTCAAAATTTAATGATTTTCATGAATAATTTTGTATCTCTCTGCAGTTATTTTGAAGGATAATAAAAACGTAATATCCAACGAAAACCCAGAAAACTAACGTGAATAAAATACTCTTTAAGAATTGCAATGAATTTGTTAAACGATAATTTGACAAATGTCAATGATAACGTTTTAATAGCTGAATAAAGCTGTAGCCTACGAGTTGCCATTTGCTGCTCGTCAAACTAATTTTTTCTAGTTATCAGATAGAAACAGAGTGAGAAAGAGAGAGAAAGAGATTGATTTATTAATTGACAAAAGAGGTCTCTAAAAACATATGCTGTTTGTATAAAAAACGATAAACATATATCCTCATTTATTTTAACATACCGAAATCAAATCTCCAATCAGCTTAATCTTAACAGGATAGATTGAAAAACACTCGAAAGTCAATTTCTGTAAAAAATAATCAAAAAGAAATAAACCTGTGTTTTCATGATTTTGAGGATTGCTAAAGTGGATTTTGAAGTCTATTTAATCTTGTTACTATACATCTGAATCAAGGTTATTTTGAGGTCAAATATGCATATTGTACATAATATAAAATTTTGACTAAAGGTTCAATAAATACAAAAAATTTTACATTAAGACACAATTTTTTCATTACTACCGCGAAGGTATTTTAAGGTTATTATATGATGATATCAAAAATTGCAGAACGACTGTAGAAATACAAAATTATATCTTCAAGAAACTAAACAACTATATTCATACGCTTTAAAGGCCGCTGAATCCCAATCCAAATTTCGATTAATCCAATAGGACCTAAATCAAAGTCAGTTTCTAATCAAATTAATGGAAATTGTATAACTTGAGTAGGTAGGCTAAATATATACTAAATTAAGAGGAGAGGATACTAAATTACAAGGGTGGAGATAATAAATTACTTGATCTGAGAACACAAAATGAGACCGAAACTTACTAGGTTTAGTTCGTGATCGGCGTTGGTGGTTGGACCCGTGTGGGGAAAAAAGAGATATATATATATAGAGAGAGAGAGAGAGATAGTGTCGCCGGCGTAACTCGCACGTGTATGCGTAGCCAGCGGCGCTCGACCGATTTTGAGTACTGAGGGAAGGGGCGGGAATGCCGCGAGGCATGAGAGCGTGTAAGCAGTACTGGCCTGACCAGCGTCGTGAGCGACAGAAAGAGTGAAAATTAAGTAAGAAGTGAAAAGCAATCATCAGCTCTTCTTTAACGAAGAGAAGCTGCAAAAAAAACTACAAGAGGGAACCAGCCCTTCCTGGACTTCCCTGGAAGTCCAAGAGCACGAGCGATCTCAGCAAGAGGGACGTCGAAGAGCGGCGGAGTGACGCCAGCCGAAGCAGATCGCCGGGTTCCCAACGACACCCCTTCCTAGGTCAGGTACTCTTTACATTATCGGTGCGCCCCTCGGTTTCCTTTCTCTCTCTCTCTCCAATAATCATGGGGACGCGGACAGGTAGGTGCGTGCGTCAACCTGCACTGCATCTGTTGGACAACGGGACAAGTGAGTATGAGGCGAAGCTTTGTCTCCACTGCGTTTACCCGCAGGGAGACAGGCTCGTACGGCCTTTCTTTGTAATACGAAATCGCATATAGCCTTGTAAATTAATAAACAAGATTGTCAACGATAAACAGGTTGACTTATTCCTGCGTCTTCCCTGTCTTTTAATAGCAGCATTCGAACTACCGAACGACGAAAGCCCATCGACGCCTTCAGCGACGAAGCAAATGTGCCTTCCGTACTTCCCCTTTTATTAAATGATTAGTAGCACGACGTTATTTGGACTATTAACTCGAAGAGCAAATTGCAAACTGAGTTAAAGAAGCGAAACGTGTTACAATCCTTATAAATACATATTGATATTAAATATTTTAGCAGTTTCGAAACAGCTAATTTTCTTGATAGACACCTATGGCATATGGAAGACTAAAACAATAAACGTTGCAGGTTACAAGGCTTGAGGGTTGATGAAATTAGGGCGCAAGGATCTAGGGTTTGAGTGTCGCAGGTTACATGGCTCCAAGGTTGAGGTAATTAGCGTATGTGGGTGTTGGTTCGATTCTCAAAAAGTTCAGAGGAGTGAATGGCGCGCCATCTAGCCCTTTGACTCACCATATCCTCACTACACGAGAGTAGCAGGTCAGTCATCATTACGCCTCCGAGCTATGCGCACCAACCAAACTTGAGCCACCGTTAAAATAAAGCTATAGCCTTAACAATATTTTCTGTATCATCAGTAATAGTGTCGACCGCTGATAGCCGACAATTTTAATACTATTAACAATTATTAGAAAGGGAAGGTAAGGGAGGCAGTGTATCGTTCCCAGCAAAGCAAAAAGGAAAGGTGAACACAATAACTTAATGTAATTTGAAGGAATACACTTTATTACAGAGAAACTTCTACAAGTTTCGGCGAAAATCACAAACATATATATCTAAACCTAATTAACACAATAATTAAATAGAATGGCCAGCACATGAGCACCTTGCCATCCTATTTATCGTCTTAATGACGAAAAATAAATTAAACTATTTGTGTCGGCCCGTGAGAGTCTGACACAATATGCAAGTCGCGGATGCCAGAAAGAAAGGAAAATTAAGCGATTTAGAGAGACAGAGAAAAGAAGCGGTGACCTGATTGCCGATATTGAAGAAGCTTGCAGGCAGATACTCGATGCTCCTTGACAACTCCCTTCAAAACTCAGCAAGACCGGTAGCAATAAATAACTCAAAAGGGCGCAAAAGCTCTCCGCACGACAACGAGATTGCACTGCTAGGCTGGTAGACAGAGGACGGCTTCAGTCTCTGCTGGTGGTAATGCGTGCTATCGGTGGCGAACTCTCTCTCCTAATGAACGGCGTTGACTATCGCCTAATGCGTGAGAGCCGCTCTCCCTCACACCTTCTCCCACCACTCACTTCCTTAATTTAAAGCGCGCGACAATGCTGAACTTGGCTCATGCAGCGCCTATAGTCCGGCATTCTTGAGACCTCTCTCTCTCTCTCTCTCTCTCTCTCTCTCTCTCTCTCTCTCTCTCTCTCTCTCTAGCCGGCTCGCACTGTAGTAGGGGGAGCACTTTCTCTCCCTTTCTTTCTCGGGTACTAATGCTAAAAAACAAAGGGAGGCATCAGGCACTGAAAAATAAAAATGTGTCTGATGCCAGCCGTGAGCCCTCGCCATGGTTAGACAGAGGGAAAGGACATACGATGTAGGCTATGACCAGTCTACGAGGTCTGTCCGGAAAGTATCGGGCCTACGTTTATATCTTCGCGCCATAGTGTTCGAGCGACCTCTACCGGACACAAACGTCAACAGTAAAGCCTCACGAATCTATTGGTTACTTACTGACACCTGCCGGACGTATAGTTCATGCGCAGCGTGTCTTTGTTTACAATGCCTTTTTCGCGTTCGTCGGATTTTGATATTATCAAAAATGACTGAAAAACAAGATCAACGAATTTGCATCATATTTTGCTTTCAACTGCAAAAAACGAGTTCGAAACTATTGAAATGATGCAAAAGGCTTTCGGAAGCGATTATACGAGCAAAACACGAATAAAAGAGTGGTCTAAACGGTTCAAGGATGGTCGCACTTCTGTCGATAGTGATTCTCGTTCCGGCCAACCTTCGACGACAAAAACCGCAGATAATATTGAGCGGGTACGACTCGCAATCGAACAAGGTCGTCGTATGACTGTGCGAGAACTAGAAGAAGATCTTGGGATACCAAAACTATCATTTCAGAAATTTTAACCGAAAATTTAGGAATGAATCGCGTGTGTGCGAAATTCATCCCAAAATTGCTCACAACAGAGCAGAAGAACATTCGCTTAGAAATCGCTCTGGACAATCTGGAAATGGTCAATAATTATAATGTGCTTAGAAAAGTTATTACAGGTAATGAATCATGGGTTTATGGTTATGATCCTGAAACAAAACAACAATCTTCACAGTGGAAGCATTCTGAATCGCCAAGACCAAAAAAAGCACGTCGGAGCAATGTTAAGTCAATGTTGATTGTTTTTTTCGATTGTGAAGGTGTTGTACATCACGAATATGCCCCAACAGGTCAGACAATCAATAAAGAATACTACTTTCAAATTTTGAAACGTTTGCGTGATGCAGTAAGAAGAAAACGGCCGCACTTTTTGGAAAGTGTCGACTGGCTTCTCCATCACAATAATGCGCCAGAGCATTCATCTGATCTTGTGCAGCAGTTTTTGAGCAAATACAATATCGCATTGCTTCGACAACCTCCATACAGTCTCGACATAGCCCCTTGTGACTATTGGCTGTTTCCAAAACTAAAAAAACCACTCAAAGGACACCGATTTGATGACAAAACAACGGTTGAAAACAATGCGACGAGTGTACTTAAGGCTATCCCTAAAAGTGTGTTCCAGGACTGTTTTGAAAAGTGGAAACATCGATGGAACCGTGTTATTCAATCAAGTGGGGATTACTTTGAAGGATGTCATCTACCAGATGATAAAGAATAACGCTAGCACGAAAATATAAAGGTAGACCCGATACTTTCTGGACAGACCTCGTACACCGTTACAGGTCATTTACCCCGAGCTTCAAACTTTCCTAGCCCAAGTGGTACCCAACAACATGAATTTTGGTCGTTCGAGCCGGATCCAGAGGCAGAAGTAAGAGACAAGCGGAGCTATCAAACGAGTAGCAGTAATGGCGGACCAGGATGCCGAGATAAGCACACTCATATGCCAGGCC